CTGGGGCGCGAGCGGCGGGCCCCGCGCTCCCGAGGGCCGAGGCCTCGCTGCAAAGTTACTGGAAAGCTTGCCCCGGACGGCAGGACAGGCAGAGGGGCTGCGAACGCCCGTGTGCACGGGATTGTGGCGGGCGGCGCCGCACGGACAGCGGTGAACCGGCGAGGGCGAAGCCCTGCGGGGCTGGGGCTGGGCGGGAGTCGCCTGGAAGCACCCCCGTTCCGGGCCTTCAGAACCGGGGACGCAAGTGGCACCGATTGAAGCAGCCCACAATCCGGGGACTGCCACAGAGAGTGCAAATGGAGCGAGAGTGCTTTTAAAAAATGAATAAAGGAAGCCCAAGCTGCGACACCTTTTTTTTTATTTACTTAAAGCGTTGATTCTTGAAGTAACCCCAGGCCAAAGGAGATCTGCACCCCCGAAGAACTTGTTAAAAATGCAAATCTGGGCGCTCCCTTCCCCGCCACCCCTGAGCTAGGGAACCCGGAACTCCGGGGCGCAGTCTCCGGATTCTGTTGTAACCCCGCTCAAGTTGGAGAAGCGCTGAGCCGGTGCTCTAGTGGCGCCACCCGGGCCTGCTGGGGACAGACGGCCTGCGGAGCGGCGTCGAGCGGAGACCGACGTGCACTGCAGCAGGGTCAGCGCTGGGTGGCGGGGGAAGTCCTGAGCGGCGACGTCGAAAGTTCAGTTGGATGGAGCCAAGCCCCTAGCTGGGGTCAGAACAGGCCAGGGGCGAGATTAACTGCTTCGGAAAGAATCGCAGTTTGCTAGAAGCAGAGGGAATCCTCCGTCTGGGATTGGGCTAACACCCACCTCGGGACCCGCCCTCCCACAGAGTCTGATTTTGTAATGTGCGCCTCCTCCCGCGTCCCTTTTCTCTCTCACTGCCCTTGATACAGGATCTCTCTCTCCCTGCTTCTCTCTCATCTCTTCTCTCTCCTCTCCCTCTGGGATCCCACACACAGTGGTAAGGGCCAGAGAGAATTAAATGAACTAGGATCCAAGCTTCACCTAGAGTCATTTTTTTCCCCTTTCCTCTGAAATTTTCACCCACCCAGGGCTAAGGCAACTGAGAAAACCTAACAGGCTGACAAAACAAAACAACAACAAAAAAGAGGCTTGGTGCATTAAGATTCTTTCTAGAAACAAAATCAAGAGACTCGGTTGAATAACACTGGCTATTCTAGCTTTCTATTTTTTGTTTGTTTGTTTTTTTGTTTTTCTCCGGTACCGGGAACCAAACTCATGACCTTGCGCTTGCCAGGCAGGCGCTTTTGCCGCTGAGCTAAATCCCCAGCCCCTTACTGGAGCAAACTTATACCCCTATAGCTAGAATGTCTTGTAAACACCTTGGGGTGTCTTCAGTTAAACAACAGAAGACTGACAGAAATTGGATGCGTGTAGTTAGTTTGCCGCAGGCAAGAGCCAGGATACTCCTCAGAGGTAACTAGGTAAGGTGTGTGTCCCTCGGAGGAGAATCAAAAACTGCACCAACAAATACCCCAGCCTCAAACACACCACTGAATTTCCCCCCTTCTGGCAAGTCTTATGCGACCTGTGTTCAAAAGATCTTAAACTAATCCGCCATTCATTGATTGGAGCAGGGAACAAACAAGCAAATTGATTATATATTTTTCATAGACTGCTATTTTAGACTTCTAGCATGCATGATAGTTCTGTCATCATCATTAACAGGACTATTCCAAATCTATATGTTCTTTTGCACATCATCAGCTGCCCACATCTCGCCTCTGGGTATTGATTTAACATCTCAGCTTCCCGGCATTTCCCATCTAGTATAAATATCCTGTTCCTGATCATTCCTGTGTGGGTGTATTAGCTCACACTTCCCAAAGAGGAAACTCTTTCGGACTCCATTAAGACACAGTCACACAATTACTGGTAGAACGTCCCCATTTATTTCTATCTGCAGATTTAATTAAAAGGACATCTTTTCTTCTTTGTCTTTAATAACTGCATAGCATTATAACTTTTGGATTATTTTAATGATCGTAGAAAAATAATTTGTAGTCGTAAAGGGCTAAATCACTGCATCACTCACTTTTCTTAATCTTCTAGTCTAAATTTCCATTTTTATAAAGGAACAAACAGACCTAGAAAGAGCAACTGCCTTATCCAAGATGAGATGGTGCATTAGAGTGCTCTGCATAGAGACTGGAATTGGGGCTCCTGACCCTGTACCCAGAGCTCCTGCTAAATGATAGAAAATGGCCTGATCTTGGATTAGTCTGATAGCAACATCCAGCAATCTCTGCTTCTTCACAGAAAGAGAAGAGACACCCAAGGTAACAACTCACAACAGCTCCCAATCAAAACAGAGTTAAGGAAAATAGAGCAGCAGCAGCAGCAGCAGGAGGAGGAGGAGGAGGAGGAGGAGGAGGAGGAGGACCGTAGGATGCCGGTCCTAAGGAACGAGTTGGCAGATTGCAGCAAGGTGCCAATACAGCATTTCAGAGTGTTTTGTAGACAGAACCCATATGTTGTGACCAAGCCACAGGATTTAACAGGTGAGACAGAAATGGAAAAAGCTTCAATGTCACACAAAGGGCTTTGTTTTGTTGACTTGTTTGTTTTTTTACAAACTTTTCATTTTAAGGCAGAATCATTTGTGCTTCTCTCCCGTGTCATGGGATATGGTAATTAGAGAGGCACTGTCTGTGAGAATCAAGCGTTCCAACCCCTGGAAGTGTTGGCTGACTCCAAAGACAGGGCAGAATGAGAACAACTCCCCCGCAGGTGTCTTCCAGCCTAACGTGAACCTAGGCAAAAGGGGAACTTCAGAAAAATGATTTATTTGCCAGTGATTTATAATTACTACTGGTTCCTCAAAGGATTCTTTTTATTAAATATTCTTCCTTTGAGGATTTAAAATGTAGCTTATTTGACAGTAGATGTAATTCCATATCAATTTCCAGAAATGTACCTGGATAAATTGATCCCTTCTGTACAAATGACCCAACCACGACTCTCAATGGGACTGCTTTTTCTCCTCTCCCTGCCTCTGTTTCTGTGCTAATCTAGTTCAGATCCAAGTCGCAATCAGCAAAGGCTGAATGAGTGGTTCTGACAGAGAAGAGAAGGAAGGAAAAAGGCAAGGGCTGGATGTTGGTCTCCACGCTGGTCTCCAGCTCAGTTCACTCAGCAGCAACATCCATCCATTCCATTGCCTCCTCCCCAAAAGCCATTCTGTGCCTCTCCCTAGAGCATCAGCAGTAAAATATGCAAGCATTACTCCATCTCTTTGCATACACAAGTCCCAGACTTACACGGTACCTCCCACCTGCACCCCTAATCCCTGAGAGCTAAGTGAGAGAAAGCAAAACAGAAGCAATATACTGTAGAGGCTCTATACTTGGACTGTGGACCCAGACTGCCTGGAATTCAGTCTTGTCTCTGCTAGGGCAAGGTACTGAACCTCAGTTTCACCTTCTGACAAGTAGGCATTAAAAAGTATCTATTTAACAAGGCTGTTATGAGAATAAAATGAGGTCCTACTTGGTAATCATTAAAATAGTATCTGCCATGCAATACATATAGTATAAATATATGAAAGTTAATACAAGAGTCATTTTCTCTCTTTCACTGTCAGTAAACTTTGATTTGGATGATGGTCACTGCTAATATTCACCAATATCCAATTGCCTTTTCCTTCTCTTGAAGTTAGTTGTGGCTCTGCTACTAGCATGGATCAGTGAAATATGATGGAGGTGCTGGGTGTTATTTCTAGGTGAAAGCATGTAAAAGCCAGAACTGAAATTTCCCACGTGCCTCTTCCTATGTCCTAGAGACTAAGAAATGCCAAGACAGTCAAGGAGAAGAGCTGCCCAGAAGAGTCACCTAGATTTGCAACAGATATTATAGCAACAAAAAATAAGCTTTATTGTGTTAAAACACTGATGTCTGCAGTTTGTTACTGTTCTATAAAATTGTCAAACCTGGCTAGTACAGATTCTGAACTTGCTTTAGGCATAGGAGATTAAGGGAGTCATAATTCTCAGCCCTGACTGCATTTAAGAATCACCCAAGGAGATTATAAAAATCTCAAAAGTCCAGGCCATAGACCAAACCAAGTAAGTCAGGATTCCTGAAAATGAGACACAAACATCAGTCACTTTTAAAATTTCTTGGATAATTTCAGTATGCATCAAGATTGAGAACCAATGCCACATTCCTTGAGAATCTCTGGGGTTCAAATTCCCAAGGACCCAATCTCCAGTTGCATCTGCTCAGCAAAGACCCAACTTAACAGATTCAACTGTGAGTCTGTTTGTGGGTGTAGCTGCTGATTCTTGGGAGAGAATC